AGTTCTCCCTGTAGTGTCGAATGAGAACCTGATTTTTATACATGGCTTTTGTTTGGCAGCAGCCCAACTCATAATAAAAGTAATTTGGAGGTAGCAAGTGGAAGAGATAGTAATTAAAATTATGCTGGATTTTTGGTTTTGGTTTTATTTTACTAAGTCAATAAAATGGAATTCTGGATGATAGTTAATTTTGTTCTGAAGATAATTGGTTTTTGCCTATTTCTTACTGGAGAAATTTGCCGGCTTCCCCACTCCCCACCTTCAGTGTTTCCAGTATCAGCCACATCAGTCATAAGTGTCATGGGAAAGATCTAACTACTGCTTTATCAACATGGATTACAGCTAAACTGGTTTCTTTCTCTGAGGTTAATTAGCAGGAGTGCTAAAGATGTGTTTTGACCTTTTGTTATTTCTTTATTTTTGTAAGCAAACAGTATTTTTAATACAGATTTAATATTTTTAAAACTCCTCTTACCTCATAGGAGACATCTGTTTTCACATCAAAATATTATGAACTATTATATTCCAAAGCTTTTTAATACATGTATGCTTTATATCATGAAAATGTACCGTTCTAGTAGTAGTAGTAGTAACAGCTGACGCCTACTGAACATTTATTACTTGCCAGGCACAATTCTAGCACATTTACCCAACAACCCCGCCAGGTAGGATTTAATATTTTCTCAGGGAAAACTGAGTTGCAGAGAAATTAAACAACTTGCCCAAAGTCACCTAGCTAATAAGCTGCAGGTACAGAATTGAAACCAAGGCAATCTGACTCCAGTTTGTAGGTACCCGTTACTATTCACTCAACAATATATATCATGATCAGCTTCCACGTAAATAAACATGCATCAGTAGCATTGTCTTGATAGCTGCATGGGATTCCGTTTTCGGGCTATGATACTTAGTATGACCAGTCTCCCATTATTGGGCATTTAAGTTGTTTCCAATTTTTCTATGATACAAACGTTACTGTGGTAAACATACCACTATATATTCTTTGCATGCCTGTCTTGTTCTTTTCTTAGATTACACTCCTGTGAATGGAGTTTTTGGATCACATTTTTTGAGACTTTTATACAAATTTTCAAATTGCCCCTCAGAAAGATTTTTTGAACACTTCCATCAGAGTGTAAATTTCCTTGTGTCACAAATAATGATTATTAGTCATACTAAATTTTTGTCTCTTTGACACAGAGATAATTGTATTTATTGTTTTATAAGGTTAAACTTCTTTCCCAAAGAGTTATTAGACAGTTATATTTCTTAGCAAATTATCTGTTCTTACCCTATTTTATTTTATTTAATTTTTTGGTGAGGGTGTATCTTTTTTTAAGAATTTTTATTTTTTTTTTTTAATTTGAGAGAGAGCAAAACATGAGTGCAGGGGGGAGGACAGAGGCAGAGGGAGAAGTAAACTCCCCGCTGAGCAGAGAGCCCACCTTGGGGCTCCATCCCAGGACTTTGGGATCATGACCTGAGCCCAAGGCAGATGCTTAACTGACTGAGGCACCCAGGTGCCCCAGGTGTATCATTTTTATTAAGAATACACTGTCATATTACAAAAAGGATACCAAGTTTTTGTCATGTATGATACAAATATTTTCCTCCAGAAATTTTACATACAGATAAGTTGTTTTTTTTACATGTGAAAGTCTCGAATAATATAATAAAGGGGTTTTAATAAAAAGAGGCTCAGAACTATGGACTCAGAAACAAACTGAGGGTTCTAGAGGGGAGGGGGATGAGGGGATGGGTTAGCCTGGTGATGGGTATTAAGGAGGGCACGTATTGAATGGAGCACTGGGTGTTATACGCAAACAATCATGGAACACTACATCAAAAAAATTAATTTAAAAAAAAGAGGCTCAGAAAATATATGACCTAATCTTTGCAAAAACAACTGAAGATGTCTTTCATTCAATGATAAATGATGGAAAATTAAGAGCTTACAAATAAGGAAGTCAGTGTTAATAAGGGATTATTTTTTTTTTTTAAGATTTTATTTATTTATTTATTTATTTGACAGAGAGAGAGAGACAGCGAGAGAGGGAACACAAGCAGAGGGAGTGGGAGAGGGAGAAGCAGGCTTCCCGCTGAGCAGGGAGCCCGATGTGGGGCTCGATCCCAGGACCCTGGGATCATGACCTGAGCCGAAGGCAGACGCTTAACGACTGAGCCACCCAGGCGCCCCAGGAATTATTTTTTAAAGTTGTATTTGTCAGTCCTTGGGTTCACCCCAAGAACTGCTTTATTTTCATGTGAACTAGAGACCACTTTTGCTTTTCATCTGTAAAAGTATCTTTATTAAGACATTTTTTCTTTATAAATGATTTTGTAGAAAGAAAATCTCATTTCCAGAAATTTGACGTATGCCCCACTACTGCCCCAAATGATGGATTTTTAAAATGGATTGTAATCATGGGAGATGAAACTGCCAACAGAGAGAATATTTTGTAACAAAGTCTTTTGATTCTTTTTAATGGCTGTCAAAGAGAATATAGAATCTCTAGAAATTAATTTAATTAAAAATTTTCCCTGCAGATTTAAAGAAACTTCATTTAAATTGTATTCCAAGTCTAATGCTTCAAAACTGTCTAGGACTTGGTGTGATTTTAAATAACTTCATTTAAAAAGGAATTTATTGTAAAAAAAAATTATGTTCACTGGAGACAAAGGCTTTCCCCCCCCCCTTTCTTTTTTGGCTTCATAGAGGAAAATGAGAAATGCTATTTTGGGGACAAGATTCCCAACAGAAGGGAATCCTTTGGCCGCAAGAATAAACAGCTTTGGCAGAAAAGCACCCTCCAAAGGAAAAGGACTTTGGCTTGTTCAAACTAGGGAGTGGTGATGAGCCCCAAGGCAAAAAGGATATCCCTGGTACAGGGGCTGGGTCAGTACCAAGCTGTTTGGGTGGGAACAGTACTGTTACAAAAGCGCCTTAGAGCGGCTTCATAAAGAATTGATGAGTTTTGAGATGCACTCCTTTTCCAGTTGTCTAGGGAGGATCAGTTACTGTTCCAAGGAAGTGATTATATTTTACTCAGGGCCACATTGTTCCCTTTAGCCTTTGATATAATAATAATAATAGTAGTAGTAGTAGTAGAAATGATAATGATAATAAAATATAAATCCTAAAAACCTGGGTTGTTTACTGACCCTTTTCCCTTCATTTTCCAGAAAATAAATCACACATCTGCAAAAGTGGATTAATGATTAATTTGAAGGAAAGTCTCATTTTTAATTTTAAAATGCTTTGAAATCCTTTTGTAGTTGCTGTGCCTACAGAAAACACTTTTTTACCCATTATATTTCTGGGATGAGTGTGGATATGTGTGTATGCACTCTCACATACTTAGCCTACATTTTCAAAGTGACGTTTTCAGTAGTGGAAATTACTCTTTGTTTGAATAAATACACTCGGAAAGATGAATAACAAGCGAGCCATCCCATCCACATGTAATTTTCACCTGCAATTACGTGTGGCATTGCTGATTTCGTTTGGTTAGATATTCGTGAAGGTTTAGTGAGGTGGTCAGAAAACTCGACTACTTAACTCAACCACTGAGCATCAATTTCTCTTTGATGCCAGATTACTGGCAGCAGAAACAGTGGGTGGAATGGTAGCAGAGATCCCCATACACATTCGTCCAGGGACAGAGAAAATAGAGCTGCCCCCATGCAAAGTCTCTTTTCTCACTTATTCGATCAACAAACCTTTTACCGAGTATCTACTATATGCCAGACACAGATTTGTTTTCTGTGCCATTCCTTCATCACAATCCACTCCTTGCTAAAGGCTTCAATTTCTCCCTCCCTTTCCACAATCCCAGCATATACACAGGGTCTTTATGCTACCTGAGAAGTTTGGCTCTTTCCCACATGGAAATTCAAGTCCTGTATCCCCTCCCTTGAAGGCCCTGCTAAGGTGGAGTTTTATTTATAATAACCCCCCTTTTCCCCCATAAGATAAATAAGCCCCAAGATGGAAAAGTATTTTAGAGAAAAAAAGAAGAGATCATATTAGGAGTGTTTTCTCATGTTACTACGTACTTGTAAATGTTTTAATGGCTAGGTATTATTCTATTGTATACCCTAGTTTCTTAACATTTACCCAAAACTTGGTTCACAATTTGGATTTATTTCCCTAGGGCAAAATTACTAAGTTATTGTTTATGCACATTTGTAAAACCCTTAATACAAATTGCCAAATGACTTACAGTTTATAGCAACTTGCAGTCCCATTAAAGGTCTGTTTACTGTTCATATCATGGTACCCTTACCCTCACTGAAAACTAAAAACTTTAAAAATCTTCACTGACTGTTTTTAATTTACATTTTTTTTATTACTAGTGAGATTGGACATTTTTTCACATGCTTATTAGACATTTTTAGTTTCTCTCTCCTGAGCTATCTGTATATGTCCTTTGTCTATATTTCTATTGGAGTTTTTATAGTCTTCTTATTCACTTGTATGAACTTATTTCATCTTAAGGGCGTTGATAATTTGTTTTTAATATTTATTGATCATATTTGGGCGAAAATCCCTCCAATTACATTATTTGCAATCACTTAGAACAGATAATTTGTTTTGCTTGATGAGATGAGATCAGCTTTATATCATCTTATGTAGGAGGTGTTTTTCAATGTCTAAAAATTAATGTATACCTTAGAGCATAGTAAGGACAACATCTATTCTAGAAACTTCTATCAAAGGGAGAATGTATAAGAGTTAAACTACAAGGGACCTTGGTCCTATCGGTGCTCCTATATTGATAGACCCATTTGTATTCTTACTGCATTTGATGTGTGGCCCCTGTGCTGTGCTTATTACAAAATTATAAGATCTGTGCCTAGACTAGCGCTTGACACAGGTAATGAGCTGCTTTGGAATTTCCAGATAAAATTCTAGTCATCCTTCATTCCCATACTTCAGTTTCCCAAACTTCTAAGAGGCCCTGAGTGGCAGCCCTCATATGTTCTCCTTTTTCTTTTAGACAGTTCTTCCTCAGTCCAGGAAGATGAAGAGGTAGAGATGGAGGCCATCAGCTGGCAGGCCAGTAGTCCAGCCATGAATGGACATCCTGCCACTCCACTGACCTCTGCTCGTTTCCCCAGCTGGGTCACTTTTGATGACAATGAGGTCAGCTGCCCTTTGCCACCCGTCACCTCTCCCCTGAAGCCAAACCCACCACCTATTGCATCTGGGATCCCAGATGTGCCTCATCACTCAGCTGGGTCATTTAAGAAGAGGGAACGTCCCAAGAGCACTCTGATGAACTTTTCCAAAGTTCAGAAGCTGGACATCTCATCCTTAAGCCATCCGCCTTCCATAACCGAGGCTCCACCTTGGAGGGCAACCAATCCTTTCCTGAATGAGACTCTGCAGGATGTCCAGCCCTCTCCTATTAACCCTTTCATTGCTTTCTTTGAGGAGCAGGAGAGGCGCTCCCAAAGCAGTTCCATTTCCGGTGCCACAGGCAAGAGCCAAAGAGATTCTCTCATTGTCATCTATCAGGATGCCATCAGTTTTGATGACTCAAGCCAAAACCAGTCCCACTCTGATGCTGTTGAAAAACTCAAACAACTCCACATTGATGATCCTGATCCTTTAGGCAGTGTGACACTACCAGATGATGACCCTATAGCCTGGGTTGAACTAGATGACCACCCACCTGGTTCAGCACTGTCCCAGCCCAGGGATGGGTGGCCAATGATGCTAAGGATCCCTGAGAAGAAAAACATCATGTCATCTAGGCACTGGGGTCCCATCTACATCAAACTGACAGACAGTGGTTACCTGCAGCTGTATTATGAGCAGGGTCTAGAAAAACCATTCCGTGAGTTCAAGCTGGAGATCTGCCATGAAATTTCGGAACCCCGGCTCCAAAACTATGACGACAATGGCAGAATCCACAGCTTGCGAATAGACCGTGTCACCTACAAGGAGAAGAAGAAATACCAGCCCAAACCTGCTGTGGCCCACGTAGCAGAGAGGGAACAAGTGATCAAGCTGGGCACCACCAATTATGATGACTTCCTGAGTTTCATCCGCGCTGTTCAGGACCAGCTCATGAATCTGCCAGTGTCGTCAATGGACTTGAGCACAGTTGGCTTGAACTACCTTGAAGAGGAGATTACTGTGGATGTCAAGGATGAATTCTCTGGCATTGTGAGCAAAGGAGACAACCAGATTCTCCAGCACCATGTCTTGACACGGATCCACATTCTGAGTTTCCTCTCTGGGCTGGCAGAGTGCCGCCTGGGCCTCAACGATGTCCTCATCAAAGGGAATGAAATAGTTTCCCGGCAAGACATCATGCCCACCACCACCACAAAGTGGATCAAGCTTCATCAATGCCGTTTTCATGGGTGTGTGGATGAGGATGTATTCAACAACTCACGGGTTATTCTGTTCAACCCTTTGGATGCCTGCCGGTTTGAGCTCATGCGGTTCAGGACAGTATTTGCGGAGAAGACCTTGCCTTTCACACTCAGGACAGCAGCAAGCATCAGCGGGGCAGAGGTGGAGGTGCAGAGCTGGCTTAGGATGTCAGCCGGCTTCTCCTCTAACCGAGACCCGCTCACTCAGGTTCCCTGTGAGAATGTGATGGTTCGTTACCCTGTGCCCAGTGAGTGGGTGAAAAACTTCCGCAGGGAAAGCGTCCTGGGGGAAAAGTCTTTAAAAGCCAAAGTGAACCGGGGGGCGAGTTTTGGCTCAGCTAGTATGTCTGGCTCTGAGCCTGTCATGAGAGTAACTCTGGGAACTGCCAAGTATGAACATGCCTTCAACTCCATTGTGTGGAGGATAAACCGACTGCCTGACAAAAATTCAGGTAGGTAGTGGTTTCTCTTCTGTGAAAACTGCCACATGGTCACACGAGAGCTGGGGTCTGAGTTCCGCATTCTGTTCCCCTATGAAGGGCTGTGTTTTGTTGTGTGATAGAAATAAGGTTAACGGAGAAATGGGACCAGAGAAGCAAAAATACTTGAGCAGAAAGTAAGTAACAAACACGAATGACCTAGTTCACTCTGTTTTCTCACTCCCTTATTATCCTACTTCTAGAAAACTGCATTATTCTTCTCAGCTGAGCTGCTAAGCAGATTTGCATAGCAGTTTATGAATTTGTATTCTTTTTCTGACTCATTTAAGTATTACCTGTGGCGCCGGAAGCTGTGTATTTCTAGATCCTAGAAAGCCTCTGGGTTCTGAAGAGATATCTTTCTCACTGCCTTGAGTAGGTAAAGGGGCGAGTTTATGGCCAGTCATATATACAGTACAGGTGAGGAGTCAGTCTAATGATTCTAGTCCCCCTGTGCGAGACCTGTCGGTCATAACATCTCCAACTCAGAGTTGGGATTTGAGGATAGGGAAGAGGAAAAAGGGCTTCTGATCAGATCAGACTGAAGATCCAGTCAGGACCAGAAAGTCCAAAAGGGCTGAAATTCTATCAGACAAAAAGTAAAGGAAGGTATGTTTGATTTAAACAAAGAAAGCAAGCTTACCAGCCCTAGTTCAGTTGCTCACAGCTATCAGGGATGCTTTTGTGCTTGAGTGAGCGCAGAAGGCGATGACTTTCCTCAGAGGTCCAGTGAATTTAATGAAATGACAAAACTAGAGAGTAATCCAACCAGCTGTAATAGCCTTATTTCTTAGAGTAAGTTTGAGTGACCCCAGTGACAGGCAGTAAGCCCATGATCCTATGATCCTTTAAACCACTTCTCTTCTTGTTTATTATAAACTTCGCCCATTTGTTAACGAAAGTAGATATCCTAGCCAAGCAGAAAGGGTAAGGTTTGGAAGGACCCTTGACGGAGATTTCCTTCTCTTATGCAAATACTCCTCTTCCATTCTCACTATTAAACCCTGATAGTATGTTTAGAGTCTTCATTTCCTGGGCTGAGTGTGGAGTGGCTTTGTCATCCTACCCAGCATGGGACATGATGTGACTGCAAGAGGCAGTACGATCTGGTCACCTCCCCAAGCCGTCGAAGCAGTGCACACACACACCGGGGCATTCTGTGCCAGACACTGGGTGTAGTGGTGCAAAATGAAGAGACAATTGGACCTCTGTGTTTGAGGCTGGATTTGCCAGACACCCCCATTCCCACCCCCGTTTCTAAACTGACAGGATTTTTAAAAACAAAGTCTTCCTCTCTGTGCTTGCTTATTCATTTCTCCTGAAATTGGCACTGTATTCGCCTGGTGATAGCACTGTGATTTCTACCTCAGCCACGGAACCCGTCTGAACTGATGGAGGAAAGGAAAAGCCCTGAACTCTCCTTTGGCACAGAAGCCCTTGAGAAGAGAAGTGAGGTGGAAGGGGGCAAGTTACTGTTGAACCTGCTGGAGACTTGACATCTGAAAAGACAAGGCCTTAGGCTTATGTTTATTGGAATGTTTGGCCCTTCAGTTTGTTAAGCATGGATTCAGATCACTTCATTATGGAATTACTGAGTCTTCAAGGTGGAAGGGGCCTTGGGGATAACTCAGTCAAACCTCTTCCTTCTATAGATGAGAAAATTAAGGACCGGGAGCAACATGACTTGTCTGAAGTCACAGAGCCACATCCAGGGGTCTTTTCTCAATAACCAAGCTGCCTCTTAGTAGAGGACACCAGATAGACACAAACATGAAAGAATTTTCTCTAAGAGAAGAGAGATTTGCAGTTTTCTCAGTGTGTACACATCTATCTCATTTGTTTCAAAGTTCGTTCTCTCAAATATTTAACAGTACTGTATGAGGGGGTTTTGGTTATAAACAGCAAAGACAACCAAGAAAAAAAAAGATTGTTGGAGGGTAGCTCAGAGAACTGAAGGCAAGGTTGGAAAGGCTGAGCATGCAGGCTTACAAAGGATAGCTCTTGGAAGCAGAACTGAGACGTCTCCTCAGGCTGCGGCCATTGGGACAAATCATCACAAGCCATTTTCTGTCTTTGTGTCCCTGGCTCAGGAGCCAAGGGGAGGATAGCGCATTTTGACTGACATGACATGCAGTGCTGGGGAAGATTATTTCCCAAAGCAGGGTGGGGGTAAGATTGTTACCAAAAGAAAGAGGAAAATGGGTGCAAGACAAGGGAAAATACAGGTCTTCAGCAAACACTTGCCTTAATGCTTCCCAGCAGGTTAGTGTTCAGTAGGCTCAAGGCCAAGGAAATGCAGCTTATGTATTGCAAATGTATTCCCTGATTACTGGAACCTTTATTTGTGAAAGATTTTTTTTTTTAAGATTTTTATTTATTTATTTATTTGACAGATACACAGCGAGAGAGGGAACACAAGCAGGGGGAGTGGGAGAGGGAGAAGCAGGCTTCCAGCAGAGCAGAGAGCCCGATGCGGGGCTCGATCCCAGGACTCCGGGATCATGACCTGAGCTGAAGTCAGATGCTCAACCATCTGAGCCACCCAGGTGCCCCTGTGAAAGATTTTTGAAATACAGGACAGCATAAGGATTTTTGGGAATGTTTCTCACTTAAGCTACCCCCCATCACTGCTTTTGCTGTTCATGGTTACACATTTTTATTTTATTTTATTTATTTTATTTTATTTTATTTTATTAAAGATTTTATTTATTTGTCAGAGAGAGAGAGAAAGAGCACAAGCAGGGAGAGTGGCAGGCAGAGGTAGAAGCAGGCTCCCCGCTGAGCAAGGAGCCCAATGCAGGGACTCAATCCCAGGACCCTGGGATCATTACCCTAGCCGAAGGCAGACATGTAACCGGCTGAGCCACCCAGGCATCCTGGTTATACATTTTTAGTAACAACCCCACCCCACCCCACCCCCCACACACACCCAAAAAGGGCTTCTTATACTCCTCCTGGCCAATGGTATAATTCTGGGTAGGTTCCGGAAATTGGTAAGACCCTTTTCTGGAAACTTGAGATGTACAGGATCTGAATTGCAGTTAGATGGCAGGTTCTTAGCATCGCCAGTGCTCCCTGTGACCAGCTCCTATTCTCCCCACCCAATGTGCCCTCCATTAGTTATCCCTTTTCTGAGCTCATCTTGGTCTTCAGACAGCTTTGGGAAGGTGCCTTTTACAGGTGATTTTTCATAATTCTCACACCTCCATTTACAGTAAAGGAGAGCAGAACCTCTGCATGCTTACCCCTGCCTGCAGTGGCCCTGTACTTCTAGCCCCCAGCAGGCAGGGCAGTCAGACCGTAGGCAGCATGGGACCACAGGTCAGCACCCCAGACTCGCTGCAGCTACAGCAGGCTTGTCCCAGTCCTGCCGCCAAACAATTAACAAGCTGCCACTGGAGTCCAACATGGTTTAAACTGGCAGGTCCAGCCCAGCTGTGCTCATGTACAGCCACCCCTGCCTTCCCACCAGGCTATTCAAGGACCCCTTTCACCCTGACCCCTAGAGCTTTTCTTAATCCTAGAAGGTACCAGAACAAGTCCTACTGCTTGCCCAGATCATCTGCCAGGAAACAAAACATTCTGTCCTGCATAGGTAGCTTTCTTTGCTGGAACTCCAGTTCTCTAATATTAGACCAAGAGAAAACAATTTCAATATAGTTTGCCTTTTATGGAAAATGGAAATCTGAATTTTAATGTTAAATTTTCTCAACTTCATCAAGGAAGATGACAAAACGTGTAGGCTCACTTAGTTCATTACCATAAATTAAACTATACTAGCTCTCAGAATTGCACTTTCCTACCTGTCCACCAGCCCTACACATCCATTAGTTGATGCTGGGAATCATGAAAGGATGCCACATTCATAGAGTTTGCTATGAATACACTTTGGAGGGGTGAGCAGAGAGGTCAGCTTTATGAAAGTAATGATTTCTCATTATTCCAACAATGTGCAAATAAGGGTAATTAGGTAAAACTGTTGTTCAAGTTGCTATCGAATTAAAGTAAGAAACTCCTCTATGTAATTTGTAGTGATCTAAATCTATAGCAATACACAGAGAGGAGTTTAGGACGTAATTCGGTGTCAGATCTGAGTTTTATTCCTAGTGCTGCAATTTAGTAGCTGTGTGACCTCAGGCAATTTACTTAAACCTCTCAAACAAATCTTATTGTCCTCATTTACAGAGGAGGGTTATTAATACCTAGCTCATTAAGAAAGAAATTAGATAAGCTTTTAAGTGTTCAGGATAGTCTCTGGCCTGTAATAAATGTAAGGGATAGCTATGTAATTACAAATGTAATTTAAAAAAAAATCACATGGATTCATTTTTAGATAATGTAATTTTTACTATTATGTGTATCCAATTCAAAATTTCTTTCCTAGAAGCCAGTGCAAATTTCTCAGTTTCCCAGAGTATTACTCTTTGGAAATAACCACTGAAAAATGTTATTTGTGAAGTAGAGCAAAACAAATACTTCACTCCGTAATGTTTTCCTTGGAGAGCGGGTGTGTATGTCCTCACTCCCTGAGATTAAAAAGTCCTGCCCAGGCCAATAAAGAAAATTGGAATTGTTTATTTGGGGAAGCTCAGATAACTAAGGGCCGTTGCTATTATATAATGAAGTCAAAGCCATGTCACATTGTTTATCCATGGCAAGTTGCTGTATGGGGGTTCCTACAGCTCATTCTCCACTCATGTCACCCTGCAAACCTGGTCTTGAGGTTGGGGACCGTATGGGAGGCTGTGACTCAGAGTGATTAAAACACCTCGGAGTCAGAGTGCTTGGGTTCAGTCCTCAGTCTGCCACTTTCCAGCTTTGACCTTGGCTAGTTCGCTTTTCCTCCCAAAGCCTTTGTTGTGGCCTCATCTGTAGAATGCAATGACTATGACCTCAAGGGATTGTTACGAAGATGCAGGGAGAGGATATGCGGGCAGCATTTGAGACAGTACAGAGTGCTCAGCAAACCATGCTTTCAGAGGTTATAGCCACAGGACTGATCTCTCTCTTCACTCAGACATCTAATAACAACCCTCAAATGGAAATCCTTAAGTTTTCCATCCAAGTACAGTAGAACTAGCCATAGATGTATAGAATTGAAGAGCAGGAAGGGACTACGACTGGCACTGTCCTTTACTACCCATTCCCTGTTTCCCCACTTTCCAAATCGGGATTTGAGGCGAGGAGAGAACAAAGGACTTGTGTGCAGGATCTCCGCCACTTAGCAGGAGCGCTAGGAGCCACATGCAGTACCCTGTTAGTCTGTGTCCTACCCAGTGCACCATGCACACCCTTCATGCATCTACGCTGTTTATAAGGGCTTCGTCATTTACATATGCCATCCACCCACAAAAACGTGCCAAAGCATTTTTGCAAAAACATGAAATGCTGGGTGCCTGGGTTCAGTTGGTTAAGCGACTGCCTTCGGCTCAGGTCATGATCCTGGAGTCCCAGGATCGAGTCCCGCATTGGGCTCCCTGCTCAGCAGGGAGTCTGCTTCTCCCTCTGACCTTCTTCCCTCTCATGCTCTCTCTCTACCGTTCTCGCTTTCAATAAATAAATAAAAATCTTTATTAAAAAAAAACACGAAATGCTGTTGAGAAAACTCATCTTTCAAAGGGAACCCATTCCTTTGCTCCACGTGGCTGTCATTGTTGTTTTATTCGGTGTTAAGTGCTGCTCCCTTTTACTCCTTTCTGCCAATCTACAGATCTGTGCCTCTGTTTCTGGCATTGGTGCTGGGTTCCCATATTGCCCTGACCTCAGCAGGCAGAGTGACCCGTTTTTCAGGCTGTGGGTTTTATTGCTAGGATATAAGGCTACTGCAATCAGATAGTTCTCTCAAAGGGTCTGAGGGACAGGCAGTGTGATTTCTGTGGAAGTAAATCCTCTGCTCAGCACTGGATGCTCTGAAAGACTGCCTGGTGCTGAGCTGGCAGGCAGTCTTCAGGCCTTCTTGGTAACTGAGGTGGCTCTGTGGTCCTCTCCTTCCATGTCTCTCTGAAGAACCTAATGTCTAGATTCTTTTTCTTTCATAGCTTCTGGTCACCCACACTGTTTCTTCTGCCACCTTGAACTTGGCTCTGACCGGGAAGTGCCTTCCGGATTTGCCAATCACGTGAATGTTGAGTTCAGCATGCCCACAACTTCTGCCTCCAAAGCCACTGTAAGATCCATCTCCGTGGAAGACAAGACTGACGTCAGGAAGTGGGTCAATTATTCCGCACACTACAGCTACAAGGTAACCTCGGGAGGCATCTGGCTAATGTGTCCAAGATCATTTGCTTGCCCCTCTCCTCTCCCCCCCCCCCGCCATCTTGTTCCCTTTAGCAGCGCCTGCCATGAATGCAAGGTGTTCTCTTACTGCCTTAGAGAGAGGTATACCACACATGGCTGTGGATGAGTCTGCTCTGATTTGAATGACTAATCTCTTAGTGAGGAAGAGAAAGGTTGGAAAAAAATAAAGAGGTGGATGAAAGAGGAGAGTATAATCTCTTTCAGTCATCATGAACAACATCAAAAGAGTCATGGGGTAAAGGGATTATTATTATATAATATATATTATTAATTGTACATTATATAATATGAATATTATGAATGAGTATATCATAATATTTTCATTCATAATATATGTTACAGAAGTTGTGAACTTGGAAAGTGAGGGGAGTTCAAGAAAGTGCTAACCCAAAGCATATATTTCAGCCTCAGAGTTAATGAAGTAGATCTGAGTAAAGTCAGGACACATATGACCTGGTCACGGGGCTATAACAGGACAAAATTCAAAAGCCAAGCAAACTTCTGTAATAGTAACAGGATCAGGGCTGTGGAAGGAGGAAACAAAATTGGAGTGTTCTGACATAGTGATTCTATCTTGAGGTGTTAGAAATTCAATAGCAGATCAAATGTCAAAGATAGAAAGTGGGGGTTATTGAAGAACTATTTTGCAAAGTGGTTTAATAATATTTTTTATTTGTAATAATATCCTTAGATTTTTATGGTTATTTATTCTTTAAATGTTTCCTTAGTTGTGTTATCAGAAATCTTAAACTACCAAAAAGAACAAATACTCCATCTTGTGGCCAGGAAAAAAAAATAGCACTTTCATCAAGCATGACCCTAGTCAACGGTTTTGTTTCCTTCGTCATAAATATCCAAAGTGGTAAAGAGAGGAACAGCTTTAATTGTGAAACTCTCTTGCTTAATGTATTTCTTTTCTGACTTGTCAAAGGTTTCAGTGTGTGTCTCTTTCAAGGCAAGATGAATTTATTAATCCCTTTACAGTTACAGCTACAATATTTTACAGAAAACACAGGTAGAACTGTAAACACTACCGTACATACCAGTTTGGAGACTTTGTAAAGCAATAAAGTAATAGTGAGTATAAACAGCCGGCTGGAAAGGAATCCATTCATTTGGTAAACCTTTGTGCTTGCCTGCTGCCTGCTTGCATTATGGGGATACAGTAGTAAAGGAGGGCCTGCCCCCCTGTCCCGCGGAGCCTGTGGAATGCTGGAGCTGGGCACATGTACCAGGGACATGGAAATATGCGTAGGAGGAGCGCCGAACTCCCTAATGAGTTGAGAACAGCTTCCCAGAAGAGGTGACCTTTGAGCAGCTGTGCAAGGCAAAGAATAAAGATTTTCCAGGTGGACTGTGAGGAAGAGGGAATTCCAGATCAAGCGAAGAGCATGTGCAAAGAGAGAATCATGACGTCCTCAGGGCCAGGAGCTCCAATGTGGCTAAAGCCCAAAACAGTGAGAAAATTACAGGGAATCTCAGAGAACCTGGTGAGGTACCCTCTTTGAGATTATTTCTTATTGGGATGTTTTTCTCCTCTTTCTGATATTTCTTTCCAACTTCTGCTCTCAACAGGTGGAAATTGAGCAAAAGAAGAGTTTGAAGCCGGACTTTGAAGAGGATGAAATGGAAAATCCCAAGGAGTGTGGGGTCCAGTGATAAAGCCCTCTTGCAAGGGTGCCTGACCCAAGCGTCATGATAGGATGTCTTCCTGAGCAGCCAGAGCTCAAGGCAGTACCTACCATGGCTACTCTGTGCTGGGAACAGTATATTGGACCTTCCTGTGTGTAGTTACCTGTAACCTAACAGGAAACCTTGAGGTGATTGCGTTGGAGGGCCTCTGATGTGCCTGAAGCAGCTGGTTCCCCTGACTTTTGGAGCTTATTGTCTAATTAAGCCTCCTTCTCTTTGCTCTGTTTCTCTTGTAGTACTTGAGTGTGGCTTGTTGTGACTACTGGAGTCGGGAAGAGAACCTTCCACATCAGTGTTGGCAGGATTTCCTTCTGGTGTCCATCTGTCACTTCCATGATTTTCTAGAAAACACAGTCTTGAGAATCCCCCTCTGTTACGCCCTCTAGAAAAAGTTCAGAAGAGGTACAAAACACATTTCCTCTTTGGGTCTCCTAGGCTTGGGTATGTGTCTTCATTCTTTCAATGTTAACACTATGCAACAGAAGTTTTCAAGACATTTCCCTCCTGGTTTTGGATTGTTTTGATGGAAACACTTTCCATCTCTCTAGTCCCAGGGTTCACCACCCTGAGTCACAATACACAATGGAAAAAAGGCACAATAGGATACTTTTTTATTCTGTGATTAGCCCCACACTCTGCAAAGGGTGGCTATGGAAGGGAAAGCAAAATTGAGCTTATTTTTCTTCATTCTGGGGGAAAAGGGACATTAATTGTAAGATTATATTCAATGCAGGAGACATTTTCAATCTCAGTGAATTCTCAAATTCACACTGAAAAATATAGGCCATTTCCGATTCCTGAAACAAATATATATATATTTGTCAGGAACATTTGGGAGCTCTTTTCATACCTCAAGCCTATAGACAGTTGCATGTCTCTTTAACTCAGACTTTACAGGAAATATAAGTGGAAAAGATCATTTTAAAAGCTATTTTAAAACTGAGCTTACATGAGCTTTTCCCCAAAATTCAGAGTTTGATAATCACAGTATTGTAACAGATCTACAAGGCAGAAGTCTCTAGGGTAGAGATGGGGGAAAGCCATATTTTTCTAATGTTGGGAACATTAAGTTCTGATTCCAAGAGTCTGGGACACTCAGTCTTCTTTCCCTTCATAGGTTCCCATTTACATTCTGTATCTCCACTTCTTACTTGTATCTTGGTGTTTTCTTACCATACATGGACCTATATTGGCCATCCCAAGTGGGACACCTGCTCAACAATTTACAGGCACGTTCTTTCTGCCTGTTTCTCCTATGAAGAAGAGAGTAAGGGGACTGAAAGCATGCTTGTCAGATTTGTCAGATGACACAGAGAAATAAACGATATATCCAGTCTCAACTGGCAGATTTAGGATTAATTTATTCAATGAATATTCATTGAATTATAACTATGTACTGACACTAGAATATAGACATCATTACCATTTTTTTTAACTACCTGAACATAAGACTGAAACTAAAAGGATGAAATTCAGTAGACATTAATGAGAAACTATATTCTAGTTGCTTAAATGCAGCCCTCTAAATACAGAGAGGTATTACTTACATGTATGTTGATGGGAAGGGTATTGAAAAGTCCTGGCTTCATAGCAGTTCATGTCAAAATAGGAGTTCAGCATTGAATCAGGAGTGCATCATGACCGTTCACAAAGTCAGTGCATTCAGCCTGTGGTAGCAGAAGCCCAGGGAGCCCTGCATGCTGCATTGGTCAGTTCACATCTGGATGGAGGGTTGAGTTCAATTCTGGGTACCATATTTTTAAGAGAGACATTAATTGTGTCCAGAGGCAGGTGACCAGGGTTGTGAAGGGTCTGATGATATAAGGAACAGGGGAATGGAATAGGAGAGAATAAAATAATATAGCTGCCTTGAAATTTCTGTTGAGTTATAAAAAAAAGGAGAGGAATTAGACTTACACTGTGTAACTTCAAAGGGCAAAAATAGGAACAAAGAGGAACTTTATAGATGACAGATGTTTGCTTCAACATAAGAAAAGAATTTTCTAATAAGAGTGGTTCTAAAGAGGAATAGACTCGAGCAGCAAAATTTCCTATTGTGGCAAATGCCCAAACAAAGGTTAAAATAACCATCCATCCCAGATGCTCTGAAAGGGACATTGGATTTGGGCTGGATGGCTATCAAGATCCCTTCTGCATATAGGTTCATCTCAGTAGTAATAGGACTCTCTAACTCTAGGTGTTTTTTTCTTTGATAAGTGATTTTGTATGCTCTTTGAAATACAGTGGGGTTCCCTGGAGGTCTTTGTCAAGTGAGGCATAGCCCTTCCCCTGTTGTACGAAGAGGCACATGAGATTCCTCATAGAAACATCAAGATGGGCTGAAGAGCTGGCTAAGTGAAGGTCATTCTGGCACCTTCCTTACCCAAGGTTAGCGTTCATGTACCCTCTCAAGATCTCTGCCTCACCTGCTAGGGTCACACGTGTATTGCTTATTGAACTTTTCCCCCCACCTTAGTTAATTCTCATTGCCTTTCTGCTTTTACCTGGACTTTTTTTTTTTAAAAGAAAGGTTAGGAAAATTCTTCCATGCTATCTACATTCAGCAAGCAAATTATTATTAATTTTTAAATATCTATCACCTTCATTTCATCAAATTTGCTTTCCCACTACTATTTTTGGGAAACTAATTATGGGTAGCATTTAGGGGTTTGGGGAATATAATACTATATATTTTTAGACCTAGTGTTTTGTTAATAGGCTACATAGAAAACACAGGCAAATTACCTTTTTGGTGTGTAAATTCTAAGTTTGCCTCTCTGGACCTGGATTGTGTGTGTGTGGTCACAAAAAATCCTTGTCTGTGTTATCAATAATGTGAAAATATTAAAAGTAAGTTCATTTTACCAACACATAGTATTACTATTAGAACATAAATTAGATGTCACATGATATTAAGAGCTACGCTTTCTTTTGAGTCTGGTGGCTTGCTTTGTGACTATTGTGAAAGAGAATAAGAAATGTACTCATTACGATAGGTCAAACGAGAAGTTAAGATATTTTGGGGGGGCATTAAACCCCCTTTGACACTCTTGTAAACATACTAGTTATTTCTTATCAAAATTTTGCATTTCACTTATACTAAATATTATCTGGACAGTTTCGTTTTTTTGTTTTTTTTTTCTATTTGGTTCTTTCCCCACTCTCAGCATTCCTGCATTATTGGCAGGACTCAGAACTCTTGAGAATTTTTTTTTATGTAATATATTTCTTATTTGAAATGGGAGTAATTTCTATTCAAATCCAGTGGGTGAGAGCAAGAGTTTATTTCCCTGGAAATTAATACCCCCAAGAAATATGATCCATGATGGCAAAGAATGTATCTTATTCCTTGTTTTCAATACCTAGGACAAAGCTTGGGGGGTATAATACGTTTCAGCCACATTAAATCCTTGCTGATAGGACAGA